CTGAGCTTTGGAACTACGCGCGTAAGCACCTTTTTCTTTTATTGCATTTTGTGCTAGTCGACTTTGGTTATACTGTATCTCATTTTCGTTTTCTATGCAGCGGAGGCTGAATCCCCTCCTTTGGTCGAAGATATTCAAGAGTGGGTTAGCCGAGTTCTTCCTCATACAGTAGGGATCCGCGAATGGTCGGCCTTCCACTATAAATTCGAGCCCAAGCTTCCTGTAAGTCGGATTAATTTTTGTTATATAAAACGAAAATTTTTGCAGGTCTCCTTTTACCTGTCCGGGGGCTGATCCCGACTTTTTTCCTCTTTTTTTTTATCAGCACGGGGAGGTCCGAGGAAGGTAAAGGTTGCTACTCCTCCGTTCCGTCAGGCGGCCGCTACAACCGAATCCGTCCCAACTGCAACCACGTCCAAGAATTCCCGATCGTATGCCCCCATTCAGCCTCGGGTTTCGGCGTGACCAACTCGGCCATCGACAGCCTCAACATCTGGGACTTCGACTTTTCCTATGCTGCAATTAGCGGATGAGACATCATCGAGCGGGGAAAGCTTGAACCCACGAAAAAAACGATCGGTGGATGTCAGTGACGGTACGGCTTGGGTAGTATACTCTTTAAGGGACGGCCAAGAGTCGATAACTACTGCACCTAAAAGCGACGCGGATCCATCATCTGAAGTTCTACCGTCAACGGGAGTGGTGGAAGGTGCAGCCTTTCCTGAAGTTGAGGGTGAAGTTGGAGGGCCGTCTGTGGAGGTCGGTGGCAACGTACTGAGAAGTGATCCGTCATCTTCGGTACCGGTTGATGTTCCCTCATCGGCCGACGTGAAAGGCAACAGCATTGCCAAGGATGACTATGAAACCGGCTCTGATATTGACCCCGAAGAGGTGCGGATGCTGAGTGAGGGGTTCACCCGGGTGGAGGTGAGGTAGGTAGGGTCCACTCGTAACATCGCGATCCCCATGGATCGCGACCTGCCGGTGAACACCGAGGAAGTGGTCCCTTCCTTGGGCCCCCTTTTCTCCGATGTGGAAGGTAAGACCCTCGAGAAGATGAATGATGCCGCCTTGTCGTCGGGCATTGCCGTCCTTGCCCTTAGAGTAAGTCTTCCTCCCTTCCCAGTTTCTATGCTTTGCACGCTATTTTTCGACAGACTGGTTCTCTTCCTCCTTTCTTTTGTGTATTCTTTTAGACTATCATGTTGGAGATTGAGAGTTTTCGCCGGGAGTAAAGGCTTAAAAATATTTTCGATAAGATGGAGAAGAAGTATCGTGAATATCGCAGCAAGCATCGTGAAATCTGTAGGCGGTTCGGACAGAGTGGAAACTTCCAAGCTATCTGGGAAGAACTGAAGCAGACAAATGACGAGCTGGTGAGAGTAATCGCCTAGTGCAGCGTCCTCGAAGGGGAATTGAGGGATAAGGAAGAAGAGCTCGAAGTGAGCAAGGGAGTTCAGGCCGAATGCACGGAACTTAAGACCCAAGTGGTATCTTTGCGGGCCAAACTTGAGCAATGTTCGATCAGGGACGATACTTTGAGTGGCAAGGTCGCCGAGAAGACGGCGGATTTGGAGAAGGTCGAGCTGACTCGGTTGGCGGCTTTGGAAAAAATGGAGGCTTTGGAGGGTGCGACCTGTGTCCTCTGATCCGAGTGAGCAAACGACCTGGAGACGGCTAGGCTCATGGAATCACGGCTTGACGAGCAAATTGGGGGGCTAGAAAAAAAAATGTCGAACCTTGGTGATCAAATCATTGATCTCGAGGCCGAGAAGATGCAATTGTTCGCTCAGTCGTCCTCCTCTCACACTTCTGCTTATCCCGATGTTCCGCGGGATTTGTATGAGAAGTGGATCCACGTCGAGGCCCAGCTAGACACATTCAGGGATTTGATGACAGCAGTGAGAGTTCCTGAGGCTGATTTTGAGGATGCTCGTGCTAAGGCGCGTGATTCCCGGGTCGCCTGTAGTTATGACCCTGCTACACCGGGGACTGGTGATGGCGAGGAGGGTTTGGATGGGATCGAGAAGGGTGCCTGGTACGTACTCTGATGGAGATGGCGATGGTGGAGATGGCGCTGCTAAGTAATTATTCACTTGTAATTTTTGTGCATACTTTTGTAGGCGTCTATTTAGATTTTGTAAAGGATATATTTTTTGAAGTATGAAATACTTTTGCTTGTTCGTCTCTAAATCTTCTTTGCTTGGTCTTGTGTGCTTCTATCATTTGGTCGCCTTAATCATAATAATTTTGGTTTTGGAAATGGTTGAGACTGGTAAGTGTTAATTCAATCAAGGTCGAACGTAAGTTAATTCGACCTAGGTCGCATGTAAGTTAATTCGAGCAAGGTCGAATGTCACTTCAGTTAATCCTAATGAGGTCGAATGTCACTTTAATTAATTCGAACGAGGTCGAATGTTAAGTTAATTCGAACAAGGTCGAATGTCACTTTAATTAATTCGAACGAGGTCGAATGTTTAGTTAATTCGAACGAGGTTGAATGTCACTTTTATTGATTCGAACGATGTCGAATATGAGATGATTCGAGCGAAGTAGAATGTGTGTTAATTCGAACAAGGTTGAATGTCACTTTAATTAATTCGACTGATGTCGAATGTGAGTTGATTCGAACGAGGTGAACGAGGTCGAATGTGAGTTAATTCGAATGAGGTCGAATGTGAGTTGATTCGAACAAGGTCGAATGTTTAGTTAATTCGAACGAGCTCGAATGTGAGTTTTTCTTAATTGATGCAGCGTTGTTTTGGCGAAAACATGGGTGAACTTCATGTACTTTTGCTTTGCTTATATATATTGGAGAAATTTGCACATTTTCCGGGCTGGGATTCCAGTCCTAGTCTATCTAGTCCCTTCATTGGTCGACCTGGAGAAGTATTGAGAGGTTGGGCAATGAACTAATCTACCTGCGTCCTCATCTGTTCGTACTTTAGCCTGAAATGTCCTCCTTGTCGCCTCATTAAAAACCTTCACGAGAAAACCCAATTGGGATAAAACTCAGGTGAGGGAAAAGGAGTACAGCTCGGAGAATATTGTTCGTGAGAAGTTAAAGTACTTGAGGTGGGCGACGTTCCAGTTGTTTGGTAGTAGTTTTCCTTCCACTGTTTCTAGTTGAAATGACCCTTTGTTTGCTGCTGCCACGATTTTGTATGGGCCATCCCAATTTGTTCCCAATTTGCCCTCCTGTGGGTTTTTGCTTGCTTGTGTTTTAGTCTTAAGCACGTAGTCCCCGACTTTGTGGTCTGACCTTGGATTTTTTTGCTATAGTAGCATTCTGCCTGTTGTTTTTGGGAAATCATCCTTATGTAGGCCATATCTCTCCGTTCTTCGGCTTCATCGAGGACCTACCTTCTACTTTAGTCGTTCCTCGATGTAACGACCCGGCAGGTCGTTTTGAGAGTATTAGCCCCGATCCCCCATTTGCACGTGATGCAACAAACGCTCTTACTAGGGATCCGGCATGAGGCTGAGTTATTCTAGGTTTAAAACCTGGGTTTATTGTACTAGACCTGGCTTACTCGAGCGGACAACTCGAGCCGAGGGGGGGCAGCGTACCGGGAATACAGAAGCTTCGCCAGCTTTGCAACTTGTCCGAACCTTGTTCTAAATTTGGAATATGACTCTAACAGAAAAGAAGTCACACGAAGTGCACACTCCTTCATGATTTAGAAGACTCAGAGAGAGGAGGGATTCGTAACAATTTATATACAGTTCACTTGGGAGATTTATGGTGTCCCGAGTCACCGGTTCAAATCCCGAATCGAGGAAATGATTGACTCTGTTAAACAGTCCGCGAACCAGAAATCCGTGTAAGAAATTCTGTTAACCCGGGAGAAGGTGTTAGGCATTCCCGAGTTCCGTTGTTCTAGCACGATCGCTCAACTGTTATAATTGGCATAACTATCTGATTTTAGAAACAATTTAAACCTATGTGCATTTTTATTTTTAACCGCTTAATTCATTTTTTAAAAGAAGATTTAACGTCGTCTAAAACATGTCTTTGGATCACGTCACATGAAATGCACCCGTAATCTGAAACACATTTTATTCAATGTTATAAGGATTTGGATTTGGGTCACATGAAATGCACACCCGAGTTTAGGAAGGTAATATTATTAAAGTACGCACCTAAAAGCAACAACGCGTTGTAAACTTTGCGAGGGCCATGAAAATTTCTAATGGCACGCCTCAAATTCTATGGTTAAGTTAAAACTAATTAAAACGAGGGCCACACAATTGTAATCTTTGTTCGGCACGGCACACCTCGAATTATTCTAATCAAAGGTTTCTAAATTAAACTACGAAGGCCATACACATAAAGGGAAGTAACTGATTTCCATCTCAGGCCCAATCTTGAGCCCAAGTCCTTGGGGCAACTGGCTATCAGCGGAAAATGGGACTGCAGGTCGAGTCCTTAAATTTGCACACCTCGGATGATTTAACGCAGACGGAGTGAATTCAATTCCCAAGTTTTATAAAGCTGATTCGAAGCTGAACATGCCTTTACTTGACCAATCGATTCATTTGGCCCAAATGACATTGAAAATATGACTCAATTCACAGCACCTCAAACGAACTCAATGCTTAATATTTTTAAGTTAACGACTAACACCTTAACAATCAAACAATTCAAATGACTAAAATTTAATTTAAAACAGACCATGGCATCTGTTGGATATGAAGTCAAATTGGTAATGTAAACGTGAGTTAGCAAACTGAGCCAGTATGAAAGCAGATTTGGCTTAATTGTGATGCTTACCACAATGATCCATATGACTTTGACTCAAACTTACAACCAAACCTTGCATGTCCACCCCAAGCCAAACTTCATTTTTTTAAGCAAACAGACAGAGTTGATTATTAAGAAATCGAGGAAGTGCACCAATTAGAATAGCAATCCTAAGACTCCAATTTCAGGAATACATAATCACCCTTTTAACTAAACACACCTCAACTCTTTAAAAGACCACTCGATAATTTAACAGTTGAGAGCAAAAGAGCTTAAACACATAAATGAATACATTCATACTACTAGATATGAATAGCTTAACCAACAGTCCATATACCCAAAAAAGTCTCAAATGTTCTGAATTACTTACACATCAGCAAAACTGTTTCTCATCAAGACAAAATGCAGCATAGATTTCCTAGGAAACAATGCACTACTACTATATCAAAATGAACAGGTAAGGTTAATCATTGTTACACTATACTCCAAACTTCAAAAATTCCAAGTAAATAGCTAACATCTAAAGGGAACAACATTCATTTATAGAATCTTCAAGCAATTACAACTTTCACACTTGCATCTCATCTTTCATAGAATCAGGAAATACCTGGAAAGCGAAATAACAAAGGGAGTGAGAATAGCAGCAGTAGGCAACCCAGAATATGATCTCAGATTCAATCACTTGAACGAGTGAAATTAACCCAAGATGAAGCCCATGAAACAGTGTTCAACCAGCAGAAAAATTAAGCTAAAACCCTTCCAAGATCCAAATTTAGCTCACTTCAGACCCCAGCATCAAACTCCATTTTCAGAAATCAAAAAATAACTCCCAGATCACAGAAATGTTCAATGGAACAGTGTTTTAATTTTCAATCCAGCCGTCTCTTTTTTTTCTCTATTTCAGCTCTTCATTCCTTAGGTCTGCCTTGAAAGGCAAGTTTATGATGCCTTTATAGGCAAGGGACTAGGGCAGACCTTAGGATTTTAACTTTGCCCTCTGCCCCCCTCTTTAATTATCATTTTTAGCTACTTGACCCTCAATTCTTGACTTGTTACCCAAGTTAACCTACCAAAAACCTGAAATTCAATTAAAAACCCCTGCCCAAACTCCCTAGAAGCTTCTAAATCTGTTATCCTAATATTCCTTACCCCAAAATTCCCAAATTACCCCTCAGCCCTGTTCTTACCCTGAAAACCAACTTGGGTCCTTTTGACCCAATTGCCCAGCCCAAGTCTGGCTTGCAAAGCAAGACCACACGACCCCTTTTGGGCTTTCAATTTGACAGAAAACCAATCCAATTCAGCAACTCATAAAAACCCAACCCAAAACTCAAACCAACAGACATTGTAGACCAAACCAAATTTCGAGCTGAAAGCAGAAACAAAAAGAAGAACAAGAACTACCTAATACAAAGCACAGGAATTAAACAAACGTAGTTAGCATGCTCCTACTTTAATTACCGGCAGGAATTGATTCAAACAAACAAACATTGACCAAGAACAGAGAAGACACATGGTGGAATGAAGAATCAAAAGAACGGGGAAAAGAGAAGACGAGGGTACCTATTCAACAACTGAGAATAGACGAAGCTTGAAGGCACTCGGACTCGTCGATTTTGAGCCGAAATTGGTCTCAATCATGCGTTCTTATCAAGAACGGACGAACGAGACCAGTTTCGACTCTAATCCTCAGCCCTAAACTGGAAAATTCTTTTCGTCTTCTTTCCTTTTCAAGTCCATACTTGGCTCCGTTTAGTGACGACTGAGGGGTTATGGTGAGAAATTAAAGGTCAGGGATGAAGGAAGGTTGTGGAGCCGGATTTTGGGGGGGGGGGGGGGGGACGGAGCTCCTTTGCTCTGTAACAATGGTGGAACTGGTCTGCTAGGGCTTGAAGAACGAGAGAGATGAAAGGGATGAAAGATAAGGGTGTGTTTGGAACTGAACTGGTCGCTATGTTTTCAGACATTAATATGTAGAGAGGGGAAGGACTTCTGGCCGTTGGATGAGCTAAGATTAAGGGCTCAGATCACTTTGAGCCTCTGAATTGAAGCGATGTCGTTTGGACATGGGGTAGAGACGGGTCAGGCTTCAATTTGGACGGGTTCNATAAAAACTCTAAATTAATTCCTAGAACTTAATTGACCCAAAAACACTAACTAAACCTAAATGATAATTATCAAAACTAATAAATTAAAAGGAAAACTACTGAAATCAAATATTAACGCACAAAGTGCAAATTAAACTATTTTGTGATTTTTCTTTTTTTTATAAAATAACTTGATTATTGATTAATTCCTAAAATGTGAGATTAACTCCTAAATGCAAATACACATATTTTGTATTTTTTTCATTAATTAAATAAGAAATAAAAAATGCACAGACAAACGCAAATAATTAACACAAAATGCCACGAAAATCAATAAAATTGCAAGTAATAAAAAGAAATTATTTTGTTTTGAATTTATGGGAATAATTCATATAGGGCAAAAATCACGTGCTCACACAAATCAACAAGCTTAGAGTCATTTTTAATTACCCAATGTACATAAACCTCGAGCCAAATTAAAGAGAAACAACTCACATGAAGGAGACCATAACCAAACAGTAGAGGCCTAGCTATGAATCCAAAACAACTCAAGTCCCAACTTCAAGGAGACGATATTAACTACCTCTAATACAACTTTCATGAATCTAATATGCTAATAAATACTTGCTAGCACCATATCCTTTACAGACTAAATGCTGAGCTTAAAACTTGCTGATTTGGCCCATAGTTAACCAAATCCCCAAGCAAAGGCCAACACTCAACACTAAAAACCTTTCAATAAATCTCAAATAAGCATAAAATTTCGCATGAACACTGACTATGCATGAACACACCCCATTTGAAGCCTACTAGAGCTAATTATGAACATGATTTTAACACATGATGCTGGTGAATTAGATAGCAGTGAACCTAGGCCATTAGATCTATATTAATGAACAAAAGGTCATTCAAAACATGTGGAAAGTCATGGGGATGAACTGAAAGTCCAGCATGTGAATTCCATATCAATTCTATTAATAGCTACAAGTTATTCACTTAAAACTAACATATACAAAGGTCAGGTAAACTAGAAAACAAATCAGAAAACAGAAATGGAATAATTCTTATGCTTCAATTCTTCAATTCGATTCATTCCTCAAGTTCTCACTTCACAATCAACAGGTTACAGAGTTGTGTACTTGAATATTGGACAAAGCCACAAGAGAATGAGTTATCAGCAGGCAACAGTAGTAAGCAGAATCAACAGGATCAGCTTAAACCAGAAGGAGTATGGAAGCAATAGACACAGCCTCACTCGAACAAATATCAAAGTGAGCTTCAAAACCAAACCTCAAACACCCAATTTTAATTCATTTTGAACTATATGAACCAAAAAATCTTTTCAGAGAGTAAGAACTTAAGAAATCACCAAAGAGTTTCAATGAAACAGTGACTTTTCTTCAATTTTTAGCCGCCTTTGATTTTTCTGATTTTTTAGCTCTTCCCCCCAAAACCCCCTTGCAAGGCAAGAATAAGATGCCTTTATAGGCAAGCAAATAGGGCAGACTTCAGATTTTGATTTTTACCCTTTGCCCCTTTTTGAGTTCTCTTTTTTAGCTTAAAATCCCTCAATTATTGACTTGTTGGCCAAGCTAAGCCACTACAAGTCTGAAATTCAATTAAAACCCACACTAGAAGCTTCCTATTTCTGTTACTAAAAGATTCCCTAAGCCAAAGTTCCCAAACTAACCTTTGAACCCCTAATTATTACCCCTGAAACCCCAGGCCAAAAATGGGTCAAAATGACCCAGACTAATTTGGTACAGGTCCATATAGCCCAGGCCTTGAGCCTCAAATTTTCAGGGTCCAAATCCAATTGAATTTAGACAAACCCAAACTCACAACCAATAAACAAATTTTATCGGCCTAAATGACCTGCTGAGTCATAAAGACTCATGAGGTCTTGGGCTCAAAAGGAAAATAGAAAATTCAAACAAAACCAACGCAAACATAGAATCATGCTAATTAAAATGACTTAATACTAACATGCATAAGAAAATGACTCTGGAGAACTAAAAAAACGAAAAGAAATCAAGAAGAAAAGAAATAGACAGAAGGTGATGAGATAGGACATAAAAATGAAAGGAAAGTGGGGAAAAGATAACAACAGAAAAAAGAAAAGTACTTAAACGGGCTCGGACAGTAAAGAGACAGAACTGAGTCTTCAAACCTTCAAATTTCGGTTTAGGGGATCATGGGGACTCTGGGGTGTTAGTTTAGAGTGATTTGGAGGTGGCGCCGCCGGTGGGGAACGGTGGGAATTTCATGCGGCTCTAGGGTTTCTTTCAGGTCTTTGAATTGGGAGAGACGACTGAGGTGGGAGACGAATTGGGGGGGGGGGGGGGGGACGGGTTCAGACATTTTTAAATCAAAGTTCCCCCAGTTCCAAGACCGTCTGATCAAAACCATTCAACGGTCCAGATCTGCCAACCCCCCAGACATCGTCGTTTGATTTTACAAGGGGTGGGCTGAACCGGGTATTGGGCCAATTGGGGCGGGTTTTGTTCGGTTTGGGGGGGATCCGTTTGGGCTCTTAAGAAAAGTTGAAGGACTTGGCCCAAAAACCATTTCAACTCTTTTCTTCTCTTTTCCTCTCTTTTTTTTTCAAATTAACTCTTTTTAATTCCTTATTAAAACTAAAAATAAACCTAAATTGATTCCTACTCAAATTATCTTAGCAAATTAATTACCACAATAGGAAAAACTACTAAAAATCCACATTAAAATTAAAAGGTGCAAAACGACTATTTTTGTGATTTTCCTTGTTTATAAAATAACTTAATTACTAAATAATTCTTAAAATGCAAAATTAACTCCTAAATGCACATGCAACACATTTTTTGTATTTTCCATTAAATAAAATAATATAAACATGCACAAACAGATGCAAACAATTAACAGAAAATGCCACGAAAATTCACAAAATTGCAAATAATGAAAAGAAATTATTTTGTTTTGAAATTATGGGAGTAATTCATATAGGGCATAAATCACGTGCTCACAACAAGTATGTAACAGTACGGTTGCGCCAATCCCAAGTTAGGTTTATAGTCCTTACCTCGATTTGATCGATCGATGAGTGGAGGAGGGTGACCACGTTTCCTTCTCCGTTTATGTTTTTAGTGGCCGCCGCTAGTTTGGCGAGACCGTCTGCTTCGATATTTTGCGCTCAAGGGATTTGGTCAAGCTGGCATTCATCAAACTCGAGCAGCAGCTTGCATATCTCGGATCGATATTTTTGTAACCTTTGCTCTTTCATCAGGATAGTCCCTGTGACTTTGTTGATGACGATTTGAGAGTCGAAGCGTAGGATGACCCGCCTCACTCCGTACTTGAGTGCCAGCCTTAATCCTAGAATCACGGCCTCATACTCGACCTCATTGTTAGTGATGTTGGGGCATCTTATGGACTGGCAAATTACTTCGCCTGTCCGGACCTCGAGTACGAGTCCTAGTTCGTACCCTGATGCATTAGAGGCGCCATCGATGTACAAAATCCATAGATCCTGTATTTGAGGAGAGGTGTGGGAGGCTTCTCTTTCGACTTCAGGCATTATTTTTGCGCTGAAGTCGGCGACGAAGTCGGCAAGTACTTGCGACTTTATCGTCGTTCGCGATTGGTAAGTGATATCATGTTCGCTTAATTCTATGGCCCATTTGGCCAATCTGCCCGATAGCTCAGGCTTATGCAAAATGCTTCTCAAGGGAAAAGTTGTGACTACCGAGATGGGGTGGCATAGGGTATAAGCTTTTGTGAAGCTGCCAGGGCCAATTTTTCGAGGTGGGTGTACCTCGTCTCGGCGGCGACTACGGGTTTTCTAATGTAATAGACGGAGATTGCGTACTTTTATTTTCTCAAACCATGACTGCACTTAACGCCACTTCGGATACGGTTAGGTAGATAAGGAGACGTTCTCCGGGCTCCACTTTGGAAAGCATTGGCGGTGATGATAGGTAAGCCTTTAACTCCTTCAGGGCGTCGACGCACTCGAAGGTCCATTGGAGGCCGTTGTCTTTCTTGAGTATGCCAAAAAAACTTGTGGCATTTATGGATGACCGCGAGATGAATCTTGATAGGGCGGCTATACGACCGGTCAGTCTCTGAACCTGTTTTTTGTTGGTTAAGTTCTCTGGTATCCCCTCTATAGCTTTGATTTGGTCGGGGTTGACCTCGATGCCTCACTGTGATACTAGAAAGCCTAGGAATTTCCCTGAGGTCATGCCGAATGCGCACTTTTTCGAATTTAGTTTCATTCCGTATCGCCTGAGTATATCGAAGGCTTCCTTTAGGTGGTCGATGTGATCCTCTTTCCTTTTGGACTTGACCAATATATCATCTATGTAGAACTCCATGGTTTTGCCGAGTTGGTCTTTGGACATTCTTATCACCAACCTTTGATATGTCGCCCCCGCATTTTTTCGTCCGAAAGGCATCACCCTATAGCAATACGTTCCTTGGTGGGTGATGAAGTCTTCCCCTGGTCTTCCTCCTCCATGAGGATCTGGGTATAGCCTGAGTATGCGTCTAAAAAGCTCAGCAGTTCGTGCCCCGCTGTTGCGTCAATGAGTTGGTCGATATGGGGTAGCGGGAATGAGTCTTTTGGGCATGCTTTGTTCAAATTTGTGAAGCCACGCACATCAGCCATTTTCCATTCTTCTTTTTCACCATGACCACGTTGGCGAACCATTGGGGGTATTTTGATTCCTTGATGGAGCCGTTTTCCAACAATTTTTCAACCTCCTCGCGG